ATTGAAATAAATGAGTTCTTGAAATTGCAGATATCATCAATGAAAAGGTGGCAATATTTGTCTTTTGGGGTCTGTGTTATATCATTCAGATAGTTTCCAGCTCTAGCCATTTACCTGAAAATTTTATTTTTAAATTGATCAATAGTATTCCATTGTGCAAATGTGTTATATTATGTATTTATCATTTGATGGACATCTTGGTTGTTTCCAGTTTCTGGCTATTATGAACACAGATTAGCAAGTATCTCCATACTTATATATTGTTTTAAAAAATGAAAATCCCAGATTGTTTAATTTTACCAATAAAGACTTCAGAGCCATATTCTGGGATGGAAATATACTCGCTCAGAGAGTCAGAGAAAGTCACTAGCTGACTTTCCTACTCAGCTTACATTTCAGAGGAAAAAGTCGAAAGTCAAATGCTCAAGGCCAAAAACTTGTTAGCTAAGCTGAAGACCCAGGAAGAAAAAACCTGCTAATTCACCTGACAGCCCAAGAGGAAAAAGCTAAAAGCTAAAAGCCAAAGAGATAAAGAGGCCAAATAGCTGAAGAGTCAAAGACCTAACATTCTTTTTTCTCCAAGCTGACTTCAATACCCTTCAACTCAATGTCCCTCCTTTATATTTCATTCCTGTCAGCTGGTTTCTTGCTCTACCTCTTGACCTAGAGTTAACTTTATTAAATCCTGTGTATAGAAATCTCTTGTATTAAATCTCTTGTGTGCTAGGGCTGAGCCACCATAATCACCTATTTACAATAAACAAAAAGTTCCCGGATTAAAGTTGTATATTAGATCTGAACTGTACCAAACAAGAAACAGGTCTTTACAGTTCACAATCCTGGGGTTCACAATAGGATCAAGTATCCTGCAACGATATGTAGAGTCCTTTGGAATTTACCTGAGCCATATACCTGGATCTTAAAGGAGATGGGCTCTCAGCTTCCTGAGGAACCACCACGTCGATTTCCATAGTGTTTGATATCAGTTTACACTCCTGCAAGCAATGAATAAGTGTTCCTCTTTCCCTATGTCCTTTCCATCATATACTATCATTTGTTTTATTCTTCTTGGCCATTATGACTGGTGTAAGATAAAATACCAAACTAGATTTAATTTGTATTTCCCTGATGAATAAGGTGCTTGATCATTTTCTTAAATGTTTCTCAGCCACTTGTGTTTGACTTTTAAGAACTCTGTTTAGTTATGCACTACATTTATTTTTAATTTGTCCAAATATGATGCATGTTTTTTCTCATATGAAGATGTTACATTTTAAGTTTCAGTGAGGGCTACAATAACTACAGAAGTTAAGTACACTAAGGGCTCACAGAAGAGGAAAGAATCTCCCATGGAAGTTGAACTAGAACACAGTGTTATGGCAACATAAAGGGCAAACTGGATTAGGAGTATCAAACAGAGATGGGAATACTAGGGCATTATAAAAGAGGAAGTATGGGGAAAGACAAGTAACACTTAAAGCATTTTGAATAAACATAGAAATTACAACTTTAGAATCTTTATAAAATATACTCACTCAAGAGAGGAATTTATCTGGAATCACCATATAATTGGGGAGATATTGCCCTAACTAGACATAGCAAATAAAACCTACAATACCAAAGATGGGTTTATCTTTTTGACTCAATGTATCCTTCCCACAAACATCACAGGCTATTGCCAAAGTTATTAGCTGTTCTACCCAACTAATTGTAAACCCTTGTCTTTTGCTGAAGACAACATGTGCCTATGTCATCAAAATGGAGAAGTTGAACTGATGTCCAGCTTGAAGCTTCAGCCCTACTAACTAACACTCATGACACTGGAAGGTACTCTGCAAACTATAAACTCTGTGACCAACAAAAGTGGTTTACTTGCAAGATATGCTGGTGCAATAGTGACACAAATGTTATTGGAATAACCTTTTTGGTTGGATTTAAGGCCCAATCCAGGAGATAGGGCCTATACCTGACATTATTAAAATGCAGAATAATCTAACTTTAGCTAGATCATTGGACTAGAATAAGACATAATGCTACTATTGGCTAAAGGAACATACCAATAAAAATAATTCCTAATTGCATACACTGTACTTATAGATTAGAGCTTCAGTTCATCCTAAAAGTGTCTATTTATAGAGAATTGAAATTAACTAGAGAACCACAACTGGACATGTGCATAGAGTGAGAGAATTTGGAACACTCAATTCTAAATGAGATGTCTTTGTCTAACCCTTCCCCTAAAGGATCTGGAATTTATGTAGAAAAGGAGGAAGAAACACTGCATGCAGATTGGCAAAAAGTAGCTTCTGATGAGGTATTTATAGAGCTTGCTACACTGACAATGATTCACACAAATACAGCATCCTCATCCTGCAGTTGCTCAGAGACAACCCAACATGATCCACACCCTACTGTGCAGGGCAAAGAAAAGGCTTAAAATTAAATTCATGAGGGAGTCATGCTTCTTCCTTCAAGGTCTTTTTCTACATATCTGCATTTTTTAGTCTACTTGGATTTCTTGTAGCAAAGATATTCACTCATGTTTGTGGAAATCTCTTAGCTTGTATTTGTGGGAACATTCCATTCTTTCATTAGTGATTGTCCTGGACGTCCTGTGTACACTTATTTTATTACCACTGAAAAATATGAACACTTTAATTCCATAGAAACATGGGAAACTTCTAGACGCATAAAAAGAGGATATATATATATATATATATATATATATATATATATATATATATAATCACTTGGCTCACACAACTTATTTAGACTACCCAAATGCTATACTAACATACACACACACTCACATGGTATACATATATATATATGTGTGTGTGTGTGTGTACCATATATATATGGTATTTTGGGTAGCCTAAACATGTTGTATAAGCCAGTGTTTTATTTGTATAGCTATGAAGATATAAACAGTGTAAATTATAACTTGAATAGTCTTTAACACAAATACATGTATTTATTTATTTTTTGCATGTCCATGTATTTGCACACACATGTGAACACAGTTGCCCATGGAAGACAGAATTGGTGACAGATACTCCGGAGGTATGTTAGAGGTACAGACAGTTGGAAGTCCTTGATGTGGATGCTGGGAACTGTATCTGAGTCCTCTGCAGAAACATTACTTTCTTTCAACCCCTGAGCCACCTTGCTAGCCACTTAGCATAACTCCTAATTTTTCAGCATTCCTTCCTTTACTCACTGGAGATTTCTGTTTAGAAAGCAACTTTTCCAAACTATAATTTTTAGTGTATTTCTTTATCCAGAAATCTAAAATTATTAAAATGGACAAAAAAAAAAAACAAAACTTGGTTCTTCTGGGATGGAGGTAGCAATTTGCAATACCCCCTCTTTCAGGCTTGACAGAGATCATGCTTGTCTGTGACAACAGAGCACTTTATTATCCCTCTTCATTCTTCATCCTCTGTTAAGTGGATACCGTCTATTTCCATTAAAATCTACGTAGCCCTGTAATGAAATATATTACAGAACAATAGTTAAAGACTTTGTAACCATTTTCTTTTACAATGCAAGTCTGAGATTTACCACTTGGTTTTATTTTATAATGTGAAAATTACTTATTTTCTCTTAATTTCTAAAATAGAGGTGATATTTTTTCCACAAGAAAATTACTTAGTTGGTACTTGAAAGAGGTAGAGTGATTCACAAAACATTACAAATATGCACTAAATGTCATATATCATTGTGCCAAAAGTACATGTAAGAGGAAGCTTACATGCTTCACCAATCTTCCTAAATGGAAGTCATAAAAAGAATAATTTCTGTACAAATCAAAGGAACATGTTCACAAAAAATAATATCATATACTAATCTGTTACTTAAGTTCTGCAAGATGTTGAACTCATCAATGCAGCAATTTCCTTAGCTATGAAACAAGGTTTGGACATCAAGCGTCTTCTTACAGCTCTGATAATAAATTACTTTGAAGGATTCCCAAGTACAGATGTTCATTACATGTTTAGCTCTATTGTAAAATAATGAATGGAAAACAGAAAATGTATGTAAAAGTAAATGACCTGTAAAAGTTATCCACTTTGTATCAGAAAGCATTGCAGGCAATTTTTAGGTATGTATTACATAAATTAAAATTGTAAGTTCTATTGAAGATTATTATTCTTACATTTCAGAACTAAATTCTATAATATTAGTAATTTTCCCAGACAGTTAATATTTATTTTTCCCTTTTATTTATTTAATCATTTTAGAGTCTGATCCCAGTTCCCTTCCTCCTCTCTTCCCAGTCCTGCCTTCATGTTCCCACCTCCCCATTTCCCCCTCTCCTTCTTCTCAGAGTAAAGAAGGACCCTATGGAATACCAAGCCACCCTGGCACCTCAATTCATAGCAGGACTAAGTGCATTTTCTCCCACTAAGGCCAGACAAGGCAGCCCAGCAAGAGTAAAGGGATCCAGAGTCAGGCAACAGGGTAAGAGATAGCCCCTACTCCCATTGTTGGGGGACCGAATGATGACCAAGCTGCACATATGCTACATATGAGTAGGTGGTCTAGGTCCAGCCCACGGAAGGTCTTTGGTTGGTGGTTTAGTCATCGTGAGTCCCCATGAGCCAAAGTTAGTTTACTTTATAGGTCTTTTTGTTGTGTCTGCAAGCCCTCCAGCTACCTCAATCCTTCTTCTCAATATTCCACAAAACTCCCTGAGCGTGGCCTGTTGTTTGGCTGTGGATCTCTGTATCTGTTTCCATCAGCTGCAGGATGAAGCCTTTCAGAAGGCAGTTATGTGAGACTCTTGTGTGCAAGCATAACAGGGTATCATCAATAATGTCAGTGGGTAACTTTTACCCACCAGGTGTACCCATCAGAGTCTCAAGTTGGGCTGGTCATTGATTTGCCATTCTTTCAATCTCTGGTCCATCTTTATTCCTACACTTCTTGTAGGCAAGACAGATTTTAGGTTGAAAGCTTTATAGATGGGCTGTTTTCACTCTCTCTCCACTGGAAGTCTCACCTGGCAATAGACAAAGAGACACCTGTCTTGATGGTGGTGTTGTTCTTATACCAGCCAGGGCAGAGAAGATGGCTGTCCTGTGTTCATCCTAGCTTGATACCTGGCCTGGTGGCCAAAAATGTTTCATGCCTAGGGCACATAAAAAAGAAAGAACGAAAAATAACTAAAACAGCATACTACTTAGAACACGCTGAAAATTTTCACAAACTATTAATGAAAAGAAATACATTAGTTAATGTTTTTGTTTCTAAAAATGACTGTTACGGGTCTGGTCTTGTCTGCCTTCCACATACTAAGAAATTTCAATCAAGCAATTTTTCAATAAGTGAGTTAACATGTTGCCTGTTTTACATAAGCTTCCTTAAGTTTCATTATTTGTTTGTATAAGAAATTCAAATCATAAACAACATAGAACATACTTAAGTAAAAAAGCAATACTTTTGGCAAATAACTTCTTAGAGTATTCAACACATTGGTTATAAAATGTTTTTAAAAAGAATAAAAACTCTGGTAAAAGAATTAAAATTTACACGGTCAGAATTTCACAGAAGTTTTAGCAACTGACAAAGTAAGAAGTTATTTTCATTGCACTCAGCATTTCAAGACTTTCCAGCCAATCACCATTCAGGTTTTCAACTGCTAGAGTGGTACAGCTTAGAATGCACAGATCTCCCATGTTCATGGATTGATAGAATTAACATAGTGAAAATTGTCATTCCACCAAAAGCAATCTACAAATGCAAAGCAATTCCCATAAAAATACCAACATGTTTCTTTACAACCATTGAAAGAACAATTACCAACTTCACATGGAAAAACAAAAAAAAAACAAGAATAGCTAAAACCATACATCTGGAGGTATCTCTATCCCTGATCTCAAGTTGTACTATAATCTAAAAGTTGTAATAAAAATGTCATGGTACTAGCATAGAGACAGACTAGAGGATGAATGGAATTGAATAGAAGAGCCAGAAATAAACCCATACACCTGCAGAAAACTGATTTTTGACAAAGAAACCAGAACCATACAATGAAAAAAAAAAAAAAAAAGACAGCATCTTCAACAAATGATGCTGGTCTAACTGGATGTCTACATGTGAAAAATGCAAATAGATCCATATTTATCACAGTGCATAATTCTAAAATTCAGGTAGATCAAGGACCTCTACATAAAAGCAAACACACCAAATCTGTTAAAATAAAAAGTAGGGAAGAGGGCTGGAGAGATGGCTCAGAGGTTAAGAGCACTGCCTCCTCTTCCAAAGGTCTTGAGTTCGATTCCCAGCAACCACATGGTGGCTCACAGTCATCTATAATGACATCTGGTGCCCTCTTCTGGCCTGCAGGTGTATATAGTAAGCATAAGAAATAAATATTTAAATAAATAAATAAATAAATAAATAAATAAATAAATAAGTAGATAAATAAATAAATAAATATCAACAATAAAGAAATGGGACTTCATGAAACTGAAAAGCTTCTGTAAAGCAAAGGACACTGTCAACAGAACAAAACAACAACCTACAGACTATGAAAAGATGTACACCAACCCTAGATCTGACAGAGGATTAATATGCAGAATATCTAAAGAACTCAAGAAATTAAACACCAAAAAATCAATAATCCAATTAAAAAATGGGGTACAGGGCTAAACAGAAAATTCTTATCAGAGAAATCTCAAATGACGGAGCACTTTAAAAATGCTCTACTTCCTTAGTCATCAGGGAAATGCAAATCAAAATGACTCTGAGATTCCATCTTACACCCATAAGAATGGCTAAGATCAAAAACTCAAGTGACATGCTGGAGAGAATGTCACATGTGGAGAAAATGGAACCGTCCTTCGTTGCTGTGGCAATGTAAACTTGTACAATCATGTTGGAAATCAGTCTGGTGCTTTTTCAGAAAACCGGGTATAGTGCTACCTCAAGACCCAGCTAAACCACTTCTGGGCATATATCTGAAAGATAGTCAACCGTACAACAAGGACATTTGCTCAACTATGTTCATTATTTTTAACATTATTTTTAATAGCCAGAAACTGGAATAAAACCCTAGATGTCCCTCAACCAAAGAATGGATACAGAAGCTGTGGTACATTTACACAATGGAAGACTATTCAGCTATTAAAAACAAGGAAATCATGAAATTTGCAGACAAACACAAGGAACTAAAAGAAATAATCCTGAGTGAGGTAACCCAGAAGTGGGAAAACATTCATGGTATATACTCACTGATAAGTGGATATTATCTATATAATTTAGTATATACATACTAAAATCTACAGACCTAAAGAAGCTGAAGAAGGAGGATTCTAAGGAATATGCTTAATTCTCATTTAAAAGGGAAAACAGGAGAGACACCAGAAGTGTTAGAAGAGAGAGAACAGGATGGGAGCCTACCACTGAGGTCCTCAAAAACCTCCTCCCAGGATGGGAATGAAGCAAATGCAGAGACTCACAATCAAACTTTGGACATAATGCAGGGAGTTTTTTGGAAAAGGGGAATATGGCAGGACCTGGAAGGGACAGGAGCCATACAAGAAGACCAACAAAGCCAAAAAATTCTGGGGGGGTCCTCTAGAGACTGATGCATCAACCAAAGACCATGCATACAGAGTACATAGACACCCTGCTCAGATGTAGCCCATAGAGAACTCAATCTCTATGTGGGTCTCGAGCAATGGGAGAAGAGATGTCTCTGACATGAGCTAGATTACCTGTTCCTTGATCATTTCTCCCTGGTGGGGTGGCCTTGCCAGCCCTCAGAGGAAGAAGATCCAGGCAGTCCTGATGGGACCTTATAGGCTAGGGTCAGACAGTAGGGGAGTAGGACTCCTCCATCAGTGGACTAGGGAAGAGGGATATGAATGTAGAGATGAGAGGGAGGCTACAACTGGGATACAAAATGAATAAATTGTAAAAAAGAAGGAGTAGGCAGAGGAGGAAGAAGGGAAGAAGAAGAAAGGAAAAAAGGGGTTCAAAGTACTTATTATATCTCATTATTTGTCTTTAAAAATGATGATAATGTAATTAGAAATGTGCATACATCAAAAAGGTTATAATTTTTAGTCTTTTATATGAAAACAACCAGCTAAAGCATTTTAAACTTTACAGTCTAGTTTTGCATATTGTTCTAGACCGGTCACAGTTTTTTAAAATACTGTCATTGAAGAAAATGTCTGGAAATAGTGACACTTTACAATGAGCAAGGGTGACTAATTGATGAGAACTTCAACCATTTTGAAAAGGTAGAAATGCCCTGGGTCTAAAGCTTAGTTACCATGTCTCCAGAGCTATTTTCAGCCTTCTGAGTAGACATCCTTTTTGACCTCAATGTCTGACCTTATAGCCTTGTGACAATCTAGTGAAACTTTCTGGAATACATTAACTAAACAAAACCCTAGTCTGCACTAAATAAAAGGTTAAACTATATTCTGATAGCATCCGAAGCCTATAGCTGAGCTTTTGTTGTCTTGAAACATCTGTGTTACCTGATATCTCCATCTGTGTATTTAAAAGTTAACTTGATTTATATGTTTCTTTGTTTTACTATAAAATTTTCATTAAACTGAAAATTCATATACCATATTAGAACTTGGGGTAACTTGAATCTGTGTTCATTGACCATGGTCTCTCATATTTGGCTCAAAAAAGAAAGAAAAATAAAAGATCTCCTATCCCCCTTACAGCTATGCTTTGGCACTGTTAATAGCCAGCAATAAATTTATTACTTTGTATGCACTGCACCTCACATGTGTGATAGAACTATTTAATCAGAGCTTTAATGTTGTCGTTAAAACCGTTTCAGCCCAAACAGAAACTTAAATGTATTCTGATTAAGTTAAGTGCCTGACAAAATTAATGGGAAACATAAAACATCTTTAAAAGTTAGAATGTTTTTCAAACTGTACTGAAAATAGAGTAATAGTCTGGAAAAAGTACTGTTGTTCTTAATATAAAGAATTAGAAAGTCATTTAAGCAGCATTTTGATTATAGTCAACCTAATTATGTATAAGTATTATATTATTTCTAAACTTCCTGCAACTGTACAAATCTTTTATGACTCATCTAGAAATTTTTATTTATTTATTAGTAAATTCATTTTTTTATTAATTACAGTTTATTCACTTTGTATCCCAGCTGTAGCCCCTCCTTCACCCCTCCCAATCTCATACCCCTCCATCATCTTCTCCCATGCACCTTTCCAAGTCTACTGATAGGGGAGGTTCTCTTTCCCTTCCATCTGACCCTAGCCCATTAGGACTCATCAGGACTGGCTGCATTGTCTTCCTCTGAGGACTGGTAACGCTGCTCCCTGCTCAGGGGGAGATGATCAAAGAGCCTGCCACTGATTTCATGTCAGAGACAGTCCCTGTTTCTAGGAAACCCACTTGGACAGTGAGCTGCCATGGGATACATCTGTGCAGGGGTTCTAGGTTATCTCCATGAATGGTCCTTGGTTGGAGTATTTGTCTCAGAAAAGACCCCTGTGCCCAGATTTTTTGGTTCTGTTGCTCTCCTTGTGGAACTCCTATCCCCTCCAGGTCTTTCTATTTCACCCTTCTTTCATAAGATTACTTGCACTCTGCTCAAAGTTTGGCTATGAGTCTCAGCATCTGTTTTGATACTCTGCTGGGTAGAGTCTTTCAGAGGCCCTCTAAGGTAGGCTCCTGTCTTGTTCCCTGTTTTCTCCTTCTTCTAATTTCAGTCCTATTTGCCTTTCTGGATGAGGATGATCATCTTACCCAGGGTCCTCCTGAATCCTGTCCTGAGGTATTAATATCAGAAATCAGAATACTTGTAGAAAATATCAGTATAGCTGAAGTAAGTTATTTTGCTCTTCATAATTCTGGTTTTGGGTGATGAAAATAAATATAAAATTAAAATCGACTTTCTAACTTAAGAAATACTATGCTTCAGAAAACAATTTTAAAACTCTTAGAAATTTTAATTCATAACTAAATATCATGCACCCTCATTTGTAACTTTCAAACTCTTGGTTGTTTAATTAATATTTATACAATGTCATATTTAAGTCTGTCTGGATGTCATTGATAGATCTAACTATTGCATATTCATTAAAAGCATGCCATAGCTGAGGTGAAAAAATTCTAGGAATGTTTGTTTCCAAAAATTTTT